ACAGTCTCGATCATGGGATTCTAACATTTGTCTTTCGGAGGGAAATATTTCCCAAATAAAAGTTTATATTGAACAGTTAGACATTGTAAATCCAGGAATAATTTTCAGTCTCAGATAAGCTCAAGAGTAGTTTATAGTGACGCTTCCTCACTTTTCGCATAGTCAATGGTCGTCACAAGAAAGGCAAACAAACTCATATTGGAGAGAGGTTCTTGCAGTATATTCTGCACTTGTAAAGGAATCAGCGAGTAAAATGGTTTTTAGATAATAAGGGAGTTATTTTAACAGTCACAATAGGGTCTACGAGCAAAGGATGACAAGAAACTTTATAAGATATTTTTAAGTTTTGTCTATGTATATGTATTTCTTTAGAAATTGAGTGAATCCCCCCCCCCCGTTCGCTTAACTAATGAGCAGATTATTTGTCTAAAATCATTTTTTTTTTTGTATGGTTGTAGCAAAATTTGGAAAATCGAGTAGATCTATAGACAGATTCACATAAATAATAATGATACTAATAATTATTATTATTACTATCAAAGATTATATAATGTTGCTTATGAAGCTAAATATAACAAAAAGAGTAAAATTAATATCTTTGGAAGTACAGATATTCAAATGTTAAGTGACGTAATGCTGATAGATTAAGGATTAGATAAGATTGAGTTAATTCCCTTTTATCATTATATATGTGTGTATTTTCGCATTGAATGAAGTTAGATAGATCTATGGCTTATTTGAGTATAGGGCGAGTTCAGGTCTTTGTTCGAGACCGATATCAAATATCGCTCTGTGCTATAACCAGGGATAAAGGGAATATCGTCATTTAATTGCTATACTTATATCATTGTCTTTATCTATAGTTATGAAATAAAAGTAACATCAAGTACATGTGTTGAATCTAGAGAAATTGAACAGTCTAGCGTGTACACTGTCTTAAATGATTCATAAATTATTTACTACAGTGTATTAAAAACACAAAACATAGCCAGGTGTCACTATTATTATCAAGATGGGTAATATTTCTTTTCTATCAAGCTTAATTTTCCTTGTTATTTTTCTGTACTTTAACTATAACTTAACATGAGATATAATCAAGGAAAATTTCATTTAAAATGACCTGTATGACGACAGCTAAAATGTGATATTGCGTGCTCATTTAGGTCTTGTAAAAATATTTCTAAATGAGTATTATGTTAAAGAAAATATTATTATCTCTGTTTTTATCAACTTTTTTCTTCCAGTTTTCATTCGAAATGTTTTAGTTAATTCAGTACATAGTTAAATGCCAAACGCACTTAAAAGCATGTTGGTATAATAAAACTCGACATCAGAAACCGGTGAATATAAAATAATCTCTTGGGGTTGTATATTTATCTGTTTTATATTTATACATGTAGATGAGACTATGTATAATAAAGAATATATATGTTTATATTTATATATTTTATCAACAAAATCAATAAAATGAATTCGAAATTATTCGAATATTCTAACACGACCCGCATTTTTCCCTATTGAACATAGAAGAACCGAAAGTGTGTGTTATTATGCTATAAAATCACTGTTTGACGTTCTATATTTAGATATGTGACGTAATCATTAAACACGTGACGTAACCTCTAAAAATGTGACGCGCTGACAATAAGTACGGAAACAAATCAGGCGCAATTTAGCTAAATATCATGTACGGCAGCATTTATTTGTTGATGTCGTGTTAGAATCGAAATAATATATCCAAATCGGAGATTTTATTGCTTGATAACATCACTGTTTGTCGTTCGGATGCGCATCATTATATCACTCGGGCTACGCCCTCGTGATATAATTCCCCGCATCCGAACTCCAAACAGTGATGTTATTGAGCAATAAAATCACAGTTTGGGATATATTATTTCTTAAATAACAGATATGAAACATTTGTCTGTTTGAAGCCGATTTTTTAACTAATTTTACTGAGGACTTTTGAAATACTGTTTTTAATGATATGTTCCGATTTTTTCGAATTCATAAAATGGTATTGCACGACCGTTCATATATTTTGACGTGACTTAATTTGTGTTATTCAAACATAGTGTAAAAACGCGCTAAATGTTAGCGTATCAAAGAAAAAATTGATTCTTTTGCATTTTAAACAGTCTTTTTTGAGGAAATGTGATAGATAGAATATTTTATTACCCTTCCAGATTTTTTCCGCCTTTTTGATTGGATATTGATCACCCGAAAGAAATTGATATAACCGAGCCAGACGGGTAATATACACACTAAATTTCCCCGTTGGGTACCCAACGTTGTAAACAACATGCGCTAAGGTGATGCGCGTACGGTTCGATTTTACGCGGTGTAAATTCCGATTAAAAAGCACTTTTTAACTGTCAAATGATAAATATTTACCAAAGTAAAGTAATGATACATATTACCATCAGTATCGAAAACAAAAATGACCTTGTGAAAGCTTGATATTAATTACAAAAAAGTGCGTTCAATAGACTACTCCTTTTGTCTTGTTTACATTCGTTAAGTACGGGAAAAATACGTCATGTATTTATGTGACGTCATGTTGTGACGAAGAGGTAACCTAAAGGGAATCTTATTTCGACGTTTCATTTAAAAAAGCAATGAATTTTAAAAAATCGTCTAAACTCGGCAGGGGAAGGGTAATAAAATTATTATTTTGGTTTTGGAGTGATATATGTGGATATATAACCTGCCAAGATAAAATATCACCCTCGCCTAACGGCTCGGGTGATATAAAATCTTTTACAGGTAATATATCCACATATATCACTCCAAAACCAAAATAACATATAATATTCGTGTAGGTTCAATACTGAATTTATTGAACATGTTAAATAAAATAATATTTTGCTCGCCAGAGGCTCACATTTTATTCAACTCATTAAACAATTCAGTATTAACCTACACTCATTTAATATCCTCTATATAATATCCCTCTTCATTTATAATTATTTTAGCGATATTTTTCCAAATTCAAATTCCATCGATTTTGTAATGATTTGGTAAAGTATCTGTAATGAGCGCATTTTTTTCGCGGAGCTTCTCAGTTGCTGCAGTGCAGTAACATTTGTAACTTGTATCAGACCTTTATGAAATGTAAGCGGCCGCCATTTTTAAAAAAGTTTTTTGAATGAACTGACGTAAGCTTTCTTCTTTTAAATACTTTTTCTCTAAACAGCCCTGACAATGTCAGAATTGTCAGCAAAAATAAAATTGAGGTACCACATGGGGAAAAAAACTAAAAAAGTAGTTTTGAAATTATATTTTGATTATTTTCAATATGAAATTATAAAATATAATTTCACGGATAAATCAGTTTTAAAATAAAACATTTTATTTTATAATTTTCGTACATTTGTGTTTTCTCTTTTACTTTTGTGACATCGCGTTTTTATCATCGTACACTCGCGTATTTACTATCGTGCCATCGAAACATCAAAATTTCACCACCGTAATTTTACCATTGTTCATTGCGACTTCAACGGATATCAGACAACATATGTTTCTATGTTATGTCAATACACTTTAGCAAAAACCTTTAGAAGATATATAAAATGAAATAATTCTATATAAGTGTGATATATATGATCGTGTATACAGAAGCTGCCAAAAAATAAAACTTTATAAAAAGTCGTTTTGACATTAAAATTTTAGGCCGCTGGACCGCTACGCCGCCAATTTCACAAAAATGATAATATCAAAAAGTTCTGTCAAAGAGATTTTTTTCTTTTAATAGACATTTTAAGTATCAATAATTGTCTGGTACCGTTTTTATTGTTTTATAACATGACTACAAATTAAAATATTTAGGCCGCCAGGCCGCCAACTTCACAAAAATGATAAATAAAAAATGTATCGCAAAGAGATTTCTTTTCGTTTTGTAAATCCTTAAAGTAGAGAGAATTGCCTTAAGAACAACATTAAATGCCGATTTAATTGTTTTCTAACATTTCTACAACTGTCAAAGTTTAGGCCGCCAACTTCACAAAAAAGATAAAATATCAAAAAGTTCTCTTAAAGTTATTTTTTTCGTTTTATATAACTTTTTAATATCAATATCTTTTTAATATAAAGAAATGTCTAAAGAACTTCAAATAGTGCCGTTTTTACTCTTTTTATAAAATCTATACAACTGTAAAATTAAAGGTTTCCAGGCCATTCTTTCTGAATATGTTTTGATTATTTATTTTTTATGTAACTTTAAAATGACCAGATATGTCATTAAAACTTAATTAAGAGTCGTTTTAATTTTCTTGACAAACTTTTTCAACACTTTAGGTTCTGGCCGCTGTACCGTTATGTCATCAACTTCACATTATCAGGCCGCTGGATGGCTAGGCCGCCATCTTCGCGCCACCAGGCCGCTGGACCGCTAGGTCTCCAACTTCAAGTAGCATGACCGCTGGGACTGTAAGTAGCTAACTTCACACATCTGACATTAATTTGTGATTTTGTCGGGTGCATATTAACAACCATTTCACTCCTTTTGGATAAATTCTTAGCATTTGTTTTTTCACAAAATAAATCGCGATAAAATACTCTTTCGATACATACATATAAGTTTACTTTAATCCCGATTTTCATTTTATTCTGTGTATATCTAGACTTAAATACAGGGGACGTTTCTTTTTGTGTTAAGTATATATATAAATATTAATTGGGCTAAAACTTATATACATATATATATTGAACAAAAACGAAACTTCCCCTGTATTTAAGTGCAGATATATATACACATGTTTTCATGGTCTTAGCCCAATTAATATTTTGAAGAGCACAGTTGAATTATTTTTCATCGAACAAATAATATTTTTATACACTCAACACACCATATGAATGTTTCTTGTGCATAAAGTTGTTAATTTCAAAGTACACCCGGTTAAATCTTAAAGTTTCATTTATATAGACGGTGGTATTCCAATTCTATTTTAGGAAATGACATAAGTACCCGTTAATATAACTACCCGTGTAAAAATAGAAATGTGAAAACCCGTTTGTTACTAAAAAAGGCAGATATGTCTGTAACTAGCTTTCTTAATTCTTTGAATTGAAAGGGTTTATAAAGTAAGGTGAGTTTAAAATTTTGTTAAAAATTCTGTGTTGCCTATGTTTTCATTTATTTTCATTTTCACTAATGCATGCTGCTGTCGAAATGTACAAGATTTATTATATTTCTTATTTCTCTATATTTGGTTAGAATAAATGTTAAAATGTTACAGGGATATTTAATAAGTTATATTTATCACTAGTCGGACAAAACATAAATTTGCAATATTGCTGATATGCACACAATTTACAGAATAATGTAGGTTTATAAGTTATAACAATATTATTGATTGTGATTATTTTGAAGAGGAAGACAGACATGTAGAATGATAACTTTTACAAAGTTAAGTCGCATTCCCGCAAAAAACGGAAATAAAAACTGATGAGTAAAACCTGTACAGATTAACTGGTCGATTTGATGAATTTTCAATTTGAAGTATGTTTAAGTTGTCAAAATAAGATAGATGTAATAAATGTAATAAATGTATTTTTTCGCTTTAAACTAGGTCTGAGATAACGATGATAATCGGCAATTATTGTTTGCTTCTTCACTTAACATCACTATAGCACATACTAGATCTTATACCATGATACCAATACAGCAAAATACATTTTGTTCAATAGATGTATATACATGTATAACACACATTAAAAGTGAAGTAGCCCTCGCTTTTGAGCACTTAAGAATTTACGCCAGCATTGTTTTGAAAATGTTAAGCATATTTATGTAACATACCAATTGATTGTAAAATAATTTGCTAATAATCAGTTCACGAACTATTTTTGTAGGTGTATTACAAACACGTGTGGATGGTTATAAGAATGTACGTGCATGTATCAGTATGTTATATATCGTATTTTGTATTGTTTTATAGGATGGCAGACAAATATTATCGACTGGTAACATTTATCGTGAATATCTGCCCCAAACCCTTACGAGCCTTGTTTATATCTAAGGCAGAACATGATCCATAGATTTACTGATATCGAGAACTACCTGTATTTTCGAAGAGGTGAAATCGAAACTTTACGGAAACGTTTCAGAATAAGTGAAGATCAGTTTGCTCTTATTTACCCAGCTATTCACTCCGTGGATATTAAAACATGGGACGTAACTTTACTGATATTATTGCTCAAAGAGTTATTTCCAAAACAGTTGCAGCAAAATGAAAGAGATTGCCTTCGTTATATTACTGAAATTAGGAACAGTCTACAACATATTGCAAACATAGAGTTTGTAACTGACGAGAAGTTCAATACCTCATGGACATGTCTAAGGGATGCTGTTCTTACTCTAAAACAATCCACCGGAGCATCCGTGCTTGGCAATATAGAAGATGAAATCAAAACGGCACTTGTTGATAATATGCCCTCTTTTGGAGATGTTCGTAGTACTTGGCAAAAGTCACTGTACTCGGAACTTCAATTACGATATTCTGATCTAGCAAATGAAGTTAAAATAACGAAAGAAGGAACAATGGAAGCAAAAAAGATTTTAACGAAAGCAACTGTTGCGAAGAAAGGGCGTTCGGGTATGATAGGTTTTTTTATTCTGTTTGCTGGGAAAAAATTCTTTCATTCTTTTTTTAACAACCAAACTAAATGTACATATAATAGTATTGCTCATATTACTGAATTATTTAATCTTTAATAGCCACTATAGAAAAATATCCAAAAGTCATTGTATATTAAAACCCTTTAATTATTTTCTGTTTCAGGAGTACCCGAAAAAAGAATGAAAATTGTTGACAGAAAAATAGAGCGAATGAAAGGTAAAACATATTCATTTATTACACTTATTGTAAACAGATTTAAATAGCATGACTTATTATAATTTATTTATGTTTGTATTAAGTCACAGCGACATCCGTACTTAAGTGGTGAGGCAAAACGTCTGCATGTTTTCAAAAGCTTAGTACTCGAACTTTGCTGGACAGGTTACCTTTTTGAAAGAAGCAAAATTTCCCTAGACGCAAGTGACAAGAAGTAAGAAACACAGTGCACTTAGCATGATTTATAGTGGAACTAACTCTGTAACTTGGTTAATAACAAATGAAGATATAAGGTAACCATAAATGAGTTCTTTCAGACTTGAGGGGCGAAAAGGTGAATGGTACGAAATATACAAATTTTTGATGGGCAAGTGTTTCCTGAAGACCCCGGCCACTGAGGCTTATCAAATAAATAATTTTTTCTATAAATCATACGCTACACAGTTTCAAATTGTTACGGAATACACCATTATGTATTTTAACTTATGGTCACATATCACACAAAAATCAAACTTTTAGAACAATTTAACATTGATGTATGTTGCTTGTACTAGTCAAGGAATATGATTATGTGCATTTAATGATGCCCCCAATACATATGAATGTTAAAAGTTTTAAAATGTTTTTTTTTTTTTTAAATAACGAAGTATTTTCTTATTTTAAAGAAAAACTCAAGAGAGCACTGTTAGAAGAAAACGACTGCAAAGAAAATTTCAAAAGGGGCCATTTCTGAGTTTTAAAAACTCATGTAAATATGTTGTTGTGACCGGTTGACAAAAAAATACGTCAAAAGTGCACTTGCCGCCTACAGGAAAAGAAAAATAAACCGAAATTTTCAATGTTAGAAAAAAAAACCTTTTAGATGAAAAGTTTCTTGAAAATGCTCAGTTTGCCTGTTCCGGGAACCGTTTGGGGATAAATTACGATTCTCAAAAATTGAATAGTTTTGAGAATTGCAGAGAAAAAAACTGAGGCAATGAAGGGGCATTGATATTTTCAAAGTAACAACCAAAGGCTTGAATGAGGTGACTAGAAAAATGTCATACTGCTATCCCTCTTCGCGGTTAAAATAAATTTTACAAAGGAGAATCAAAGGTGCTTGGTTTCTTTAAACCCACAGCAAAATGGATGTAATGATTTAAAAAAATTTATTATTTTTCCCAACGAATACAAGCCATATTTTTAAGCTCATACCTTCTTACATTATTAACAAACAAAGAATAAAAATAACCTTTTTGTGACCAATAGTAAAAATAAAAGTAACTCCGTCACTTTCAATACTCCAAATACTGTTATGATTCTGCAAGTATTACTATCAATACTGTAATGTCTCTGCTATTGTTACTCTAAGTAATGTAATGATTCTGCTTTCATTATCCTAAAATTTTAATAATGTAGTGATTCTGCTATCATTACTCTAAATACTGTAAAGAATATGTTATCATTACTCTAAATAATGTAATGATTCTGCTATCATTACTCTAAATAATGTAATGATTCTGCTATTATTACACTAAATAATGTAATGATTCTGCTATCATTACTCTAAATACTGTCATGATTCTGCTATCATTACTCTAAATACTGTCATGATTCTGCTATCATTACTCTAAATATTGTCATGATTCTGCTACCATTACTCTAAATACTGTCATGATTCTGCTATCATTACTTTAAATACTGTCATGATTCTGCTATCATTACACTAAATAATGTCATGATTCTGCTATCATTACTCTAAATACTGTCATGATTCTGCTATCATTACTCTAAATACTGTCATGATTCTGCTATCATTACTCTAAATACTGTCATGATTCTGCTATTACATGTATTAATCTAAATACTGTAATGATTCTGCTGTCATTACTCTAAATAATGTAATGATTCTGATATCATTACTCTAAATACTGTAAGGAATCTGTTATCATTACTCTAAATAATGTAATGATTCTGCTATCATTACTCTAAATAATGTAATGATTCTGCTATCATTACACTAAATAATGTAATGATTCTGCTATCATTACTCTAAATACTGTCATGATTCTGCTATCATTACTTTAAATACTGTCATGATTCTGCTACCATTACTGTAAATACTGTAATGATTCTGCTATCATTAATCTAAATACTGTAATGATTCTGCTGTCATTACTCTAAATAATGTAATGATTCTGCTATCATTACTCTAAATAATGTAATGATTCTGCTATCATTACTCTAAATACTGTAATGATTCTGCTATCATTACTCTAAATAATGTAATGATTCTGCTATCATTACTTCAAAAACTGTAAGAAAAATGTTATGATTCTGCTATGATTACTCTTATACTGTTATGTGTGTTATTCCAGTAAATATATTATCATTCCTTCAGGTTAACTTCTGTTATAATTTCAGTAATACTATTATATCATTAGAATATACGACTTAAACTTATATTTACTAAGGCATTATGTTTTAACAATTTTGTGGTATGAAATGAAGTCAAATATTATTTCTTGTACAGAAATATTCAATGTTAAGTGCTCTTTTAATTTTTATAATATTTCTTTATGTACAGGTATTTCTAAATTTTTTTTGATTTCATCTATTAAATAAAACTTTGTTATCATGATTTGTTTAAATATTTGATATATACATGAAAATTACAGACGAGAGTATTCAGCAGACGGTTGTCCAAGGAAAAACCCTTTTTGGTAAGTCTATATATAAGATATTACAATATTTTAATGGGAAAATTAGATGAAAATCAATTTAGTTTAAGTTACAGTAACCTTAGTTAACATAATGGAAAATTAAACTTGGGGAAAAAAAAGGGTTTGACACCTTAACAAACAAAATTCTCTTATTTACAAAAAAGAGTTATTTTTAAAATTACCCCTGGAAAAAATCAAAGAAATTGGAACCGGAAGATATTTTTAGATATATACATGTATATTACAGACGAGAGTATACCAGCAGACGACACTGTCCACGGCAACCTTCTTGGTAAGTCTATAAATAAGATATCACAATATTTTAACTGGAATATAGATGAAAATCAACTGAAGCTGAAGTTACAGTAACTTAAGTTGAACGTCATTTATTATGTTTAATGTTTCAAACTTGATATAAAAACGGATTGATTGGAAACACCTATACTTATCAAAATATTTTATATTTACAAGTCATATCAAGCTTACTGATTACAAACTCACATCGAAAATAATTCTTAAATGTCCGTTTATATGCCGAAGCTTTATCTTCTGTTGTTAAGGTAACCATTTTTCATTTGTAAGTAAAGTTAACATGCTTTTCTATCTAAAAGTATATAAGTTATATTTTTGTAGAAATGTCAAGAATGTTCAAGAAGGGATATGAGCTAAAAGAAGTCAACAGTAAAGCGAAAGAAAAGGCAGAAAGTCTCTTCTTAAAGCACAGTATGGTGGTCATTGTTGGACCAACTGAAAGTGGAAAAACGAGCCTTTCATTTAAGTTGTTGTCCTCGTACGACCTCAGCAATGGAGAAGATAATTTTCTCGTTATCTCTAACCCATGCGAGTTGAAGTATATCAAGTTCTCGTTACGTCCGGTTATCATAATCAAAATTTATGAACAAGCGAGTAATTTGTACAGTCAGTTTGACAGACTGTATGCAGCGGTAAAGGCACGCCAGGTAGCCGTTATCACAACTATAGGGTTGAAGACGTTTCAAATGATGCCGGCAAATATGCTGTCACATCCAGTCTTAGAGCATGTTGTGCGCATGCCAGGAAGTGAAGGTTTGAATGAAGGTAATCTACAAGCAATTTGTCCTTCAAGCAATGTTCGTATATAAGTATTTCATAACAAACTTGTAGTTATTTAATATCTTTACTGTATATATATGATTATATTTCCGGATATAGCAAGAAAGGTACAAGGTAAAATATAAAGGTTCTTTACAACCGGAAATTTCTATAGTGACCGAAAGCAGCAGGTACTTGTAATACACATGAATTTTATAGGCTTTCAAGTCATGGTGATTTCGTTTATCCACAATATTATTTATTACTTAGTTTGTCACCATCGCTCGTTAGACACATTAACATTAAAAACGTTAAAACAGTGCATCTATATTCCTTATTCGAATGTATAATTTTTATTTGCATTAGAGCGACACATTTCTAAATGCGTATAATAAATTTTGAAAAAAAAAAAAAAAAAATAGAATGATATACAGTATGTCCGGGTGGGTCAATATCTAATGCACTATGAAGTATATTTTCTAATTTAACTCGTGCTTCTTGTGTTTGTGTAAATAATGCAATACTTCAAATCATCTGCTTTCAACTTATACCAAAATCAAGTTGTAGTAAACCGGTTCATTTAAAAATGTATAACATGAATAACTTCATTTACAATTTGGCTGGTAAAGTGCTGAAATACGGGCTTGCATAAAAGCTCGAGCAAAACAAGGAACCCCCGCTATAAATGTTGATAATGACATTTTTAATATTTAAAGCAAAAAATTATGCAATAGTTTCGAGGTGGTCGCATAACTTCAACACTGTGCACGAGTCAATTAAAGATGCATATAGGTCTAGTAGAAAACGTTCCATAGTTACTGACAAAAACATTTAATAATTTAAGCTTATCATTGACAAAGATGTCAGACTTTCACTTACCTAGCCCATATCGCAGGGATATCAAAAAGGTAAACTCGTAAGATTCTAAAGAATCACGTGAAAGTTTGGCGAATAATTGCAAGATGGATACCCCGTTTGCAAACATCTAATTCGCTTGAATATAATTGAAAATGTTTCCTAAAAATGGCAGTCGTCGTTATTCTTTTATTGTGACTGGTTGCACATATTTTAGCCATTTCGCAAGTGTAACAAGATTTTGGGCACCAAAACTGTTCTTCGGCGATGTATGCCAGTGTCAAAAAGTCATGTAGATTATTTTATTACAAAACCCCAAATTTCTGTTTCAAAGGCCGTTCAGTCATATTCAAGTGTTATTGAGATGTCTTGTTAAAGGCACATTATGCTTCTTTAGAAAGTAATAACGTTTACATAATGGTAATAGAGCATGAAAGATGTTTAACGCCGAAGAAAGTAGCACTGAATGTTGAATTAAAAAGTGGCAGAATGTAAACACAATAATATTTAGACTGCTATACAAAATACTAAATCACTTAAGCTGTAATTATTAAATAAAGCAACAGATTATTAAGTTTAATTGCCAATGAGTAATATTTTGGAAACTTTAACATAACATAAACAAAGAACTTTTTTTTTAGATAATAATAAATGCAATCTGTTCCAAAATGGGCCTTTAAGAAAAGTTCGTCCATCGCCTGTATTTTCTGCATCACAACGTCTGCACTTAAAGGAGCTACCCTAATCAATTTTTCTTTTTGAGAAATACGTGTTATATATGTCCTCATTATTGTTTTATACTAATAATAGTTTCGTAACTATAGATTTTATATCAGTAAATCTAGTCTGTTGAAATGCTCATCATAAGACGCAAAGAGAATTTAAAACATTAAATAACTTAATTTAGGCTACTTGAAACGACAACTAGATATATATTATTGCCTCTGTTGTAAGTCAGTATCCAGTCTGACCAAGCAAGGAGATTTTAACTTTCATTAACAGGAAAACAATTCATAGTAAGATATTATTGGCACGAATTACTACGGCATTTATTTCCTGAATTCCAAACGATGATGTGAAGAGTTTATGCTTACAATTTTCTAAGTGTTTTCTGTTCACACCGCATCACTTATTTATATATACCAAAGATATATAAGTAAATATTTGCTTTTTGTTCTTGGTTTTATTATGTAGTTGTTCTAATCTACTCTATCCCATCTAGAAAGCAAAACATAATTAAAAAAATTTAGTAACACATTGCTATCAGACAAGCTAAACATTTTACGTCTAGCAGTTTCATTGCATTATAATTATTGAGAAAATATTTATCTAGTTATTCGTTGATGACTTGTTTAATAATTCAGCTATGTCTTTAAAAAAAATCCTGTATAAATATCCGTAAATACAAACTGAAAAGATCACATATTTAAAATAATAAACAAAAATAAGTATAAACTATTCCCATAAATTAATATATTAATTATTATACCATACAGACTGACGAGTCGAGTAGGCGAAACATGTTTGGTTTTATAATCCATTATCAAATAAGTAATTACATGTAGACTTTTCATATTCATGGAAATTTTCCTCTACGTTCAAGAATTCTTCTATGTTACTATATTTCACGAGTGCAAGAAGTAATTTGAGCCATCCACCAAATGGTTCGATGTAAACAATATATACATCAGACAGATAATCAAATGTCATAAAGCCAGCGCCATGCATCATTATATATATAGTAAGTGAAAACTTCAGAATCATCCGAAAATTACGAAAACGTATAGCGACCACCCCTATATGTTAGTTAAAACAAATTTTTTGATAATTTATTTAATACATGTTAACCAATTTTTACAAACTAACTTGATCTGAAATATTTATCTAGTAATATCTACAGCCCCTGCATATTGGTAAAAACAGTATTTAAGACCATTTATTTAACACACGATATATATTTGACCAATATTTAAATTGTTATTTGATCTTGAATATATATCATTTTCTAAGTCTGCTGTTGATATTGCTGGATTCAAATTTATGTGACATTTTTCAGTATATTGTATGTATTAGTTTTATATATTGAGGCTTTTATTCGCATACCTCTATCATTATTAAATATAATGTAACATATTTTACAATTTATATTTGATTATGAGGCCAGAAAAATCTCGCACAATAGAAAGCTTTTTTAAAGATTATATATGAAACATTTGAATGAGGCTTTTTGTTTTTCAAAGATTCAGGAATGTTTAAATAAATGTGCTTCAGATAGTGTTACAAGATAAAGAAAATTGTCAATTTTGTGTAAAACTTGACGTTCAATTTAAAGCCGCTTATTTAAATAGATCTACAATAATTTTCTGATTTTGGGCTTTGATGGTCCACTTTGACGTCGTGTGTACAAAAATTGGCTGAAACTATTGGAATAAAATCAACGGACTTTAATCAGAAATATGGTCAACTTTTTGCATGCCAAGGGTTCAAGACGCTACTTGAAAGTTCACAAAGTGTCGCGTACTACCTTAAATACCGATTCAATTGTTTTATAACATTTCTACAACTGTCAAAGTTTAGGCCGCCAACTTCACAAAATATGATAAAAAATCAAAAAGTTCTTTTAAAGAGATTTTGTTACGTTTTATATATCTTTTTTAATGTAAGAATTATCTAAAGAACTTCACATAGTGCCGTTTTTATTGTTTATATAAAATCTCTACAACTGTAAAATTTTAGGTTGTCAGGCCATTCTTTCTGAATATGTTTTTATTTTTGTGCAACTTTAAAATGACTAGATATGTCATTAAAACTTAATTAACAGTCGTTTTAATTTACATGACAAACTTTTACAACAATTAAGGTTCTGGCCGCTAGGCCGACTACATCACGCCATCGGGCCGTTAAGCATCTAAGCCACCATTTTAATGCCATCAGGTCACTGGGCTGCTAGGCCGCCAACTTCAAACCGATAGGCCGTAGGCCTGTATGCCGCTAAGTTTACACATCTGATATTAATTTGTGATTTTGTTAGGCGACCCCTTCTGCATTTTAACTACCATTTCACTGCTTTTGGATAAACTCTAAGCATCTCTTTTTTTTCATCTAACAATTAATAATTTTTCTACATTTTTACGACCCTCAACACACCATATGAATGTTTCTTGATTTTTTTGGAAATACATAGTTGTTAATCCAAAGTACATCCGGTTAAATCTTAAAGTGTATTTATAGCGGAAGTTTTTGAAAACAGTGCTTTTCCAATTCTTTTTTTAGGAAATGGCATAAGTAACTCCTCGTGTAAAAATAGAAATGTGAAAACCCGTTTGTTACTTAAAAAAAGGTAGACATGTCTATATCTAGCCATCTTAATTTATTCAGCTGAAAGGGTTTCATGAAGTAAAGTGAGTTTTTTTTTTAAATAATATGTATATTCTCTAATGCATGCTTCTGTCGAAATGTATCAATAATCAATATAATTATATTTCTTATTTCTCCATATTTGGTAAGAATAAATGTTAAAGTGCAGGGCTATTTGATAAGTTTTATTCACTTGATAAACATTTGAATTTATTACTAGTCGGACACAACATAAATTTGCAATTTTGTTGGAATGTACATTTAACATGTAATTTACATAATAATGAAGAAGACTTATAAATTATTTCAATCTTGTTGATTGTGATTATTTTGAAGAGGAAGACAGACATGTAGAATGATAACTTTTACCAAGTTAAGTCGCATTCCCGCGGCAAAAACGGAAATAAAAACTAATGAGTAAAACCTATAAATATTTACTGGTCGATTGAAGCATGTTTAAGTTGTCAAAATAAGATAAAATGTAATAAATGTAAGAAATGTACTTTTTCGCTTTATACCAGGTCGGAGATAACGATGATAATCGGCAATTATTGTTTGCTACTTCACTTAACATCACTATAGGACATACGTGATCTTATCATAACACTATGTCCAATGCAGGAACTAGTATTTGTTCAATGGATGTTTATACATATATATAACAAACATAAAGAGTGAAGTAGCCCTCGCTTTTGAGCACTTAAGACTTTATGCCAGCATTATTTTGAATATGTTAAGCATATTTATGTAACATACCAATTGATTGTCAAATAATTTGCTCATATCACGTCACG